ATCTTAAGCTTAAAGAATCCCAAGTTTGAAACAATCTTCAAAGCAAATAAAGAGTGAAGAAATGAGGGAGGTTGCAGAGCTTTAGGTGCTGATATGAAGTGCAAAACAACACCAAAACATGCAATCAACTCAAACAAGGGGTGTCTAATGGCCTAAAACACCAAGCTTGTGAGGACCTATACACTACAACCATGCAAAACAAGATTTAACTGACCCAAACAGCCCAAAACATGCTGGAATATAGCTACAAAAAGCTAGAAAATCATGCTAACACATAGAGTTAACTAGGCTAGCAAACAAGACACGAGGAGGGGAGGCTAACCCCTCCAATTTTGGACTTCAAAACATGTTTTTTGCCACTGAAAATACTCTGAAATTTAGTGGTTAAAGGCTCAAAAAAAGGTTGGTTTGAAAGTGGGAAACAAAGGTGTAAAAGCCTTAAAAGAAAGAAATAAAGAAGGGTGAGACACCGCCTTAACCTTAAATGGCTTAAAACACCAATTTTAGCCCATTAAAACAGAGATTTTTACAGCTCAAAATGGCCCAAAAATAGTGGGAAAAGATAGAGAAACAAGTGTACTAAAACAAGTTTAAAAGACAAGTGTTATACCTCTTGAAGCCAAGCACAACTTTAGGCACAAATACAAGTCAAAACCACCTTCAAGAGCTCCAACAAGACCTTAAGAGACCTCAGCTCAAAGGTGATCAATTTTGGTTAAGGATGTGTATGCAAAAGAGTGATATATAACTAGGCAAGTGTGCACAAAATTGCAAGAGAGAGAGAGAGATATTTTGCTCCCAAATTTTCTAACCCTAAAAAATGAGGGAAGACACCCTATATATATAGAAAAACATGCATTTGGTTGAGTTAAATCAGTCTATACACGTGTATGATGATAAAGCTCATTGTGCCAACAGCTGGAATAGCTGTCAAGAAAATATCTGCAAAAAGGCATTAGTGGCCGGCAGGCCACATCATTGGCCGACAAGGCACAGTGATGGCCGGCAAGGCACAAAAGGAGGTCGGCAAGGCACCAGAGGTGGCCAGCTGGTCCCAGGGTGTTGGGGTTTGAAGAACTGGAGTTTTGAGTGTGAAAAACTAAGGTTTTGGTCCAAAACACAGGCACAAAATAGACACGATTTTAGGGCTTAAAAGCAGGGCACTCCGCCGATGACTTCGAGCACTCAAAACAAACACATGCAATCACAATCATCGTGTACACAAACGATGACATCTAGGTCTTGACGACGGTAAAAAATGGGGTGTCTATACCGGCGCACGTGCGATGAGAGTCCCGCACGTGTAGCTAAGGCATTCCGCACTGCAGCTGTTTAGCTGGCTCGGTTTGATTTTTCTACTTCATTTTTCCCTTTTCTGGGCCTCCGTTAGCATGGTTTTCATTTATATCTGATGTTCGTTGTATTGCACGGGTATCACAAGCATTAAAAGAGAATAAAGACAAAGTAGACCAACCAATAACAACTTGTTGATTGCACAGTAAAGTAAACACGTTATGCTTGCATATGTCTGTGTAGGTCGAGAGTCGCGTCCCAGCTGCGTGTTTTGCGGAGCCAACTGTGAGTAACACTGTTGTAAAGATATGTTTAACTTAAGTATCTCTTTTCTGCTTTATCTTTTCCCTGTTCTAAACATGCTTATTTTATGTTTAATGAATGATGATCCTATGTTCTTACACTGTATTTCGTGGCATCCTTAACACCTATTTACATTGTTATAGAGATCTCTATCAGTTCCATTTTGTGGAACTCCTGTTTATTATATTGATGGCCATCACGTCTGATTACCGATCTTCATGACCGCTTGTTCGGTCTTCAAGAGCATTGAACTAGTTTGCTATGGGATGTACCACGCAAACATATATGTCCCTGTATGAAATAAGAATCTATGAAGTTTATGGTTTTGCTTTTCAGTAAGGATATCATTCGAAACCTGTTTACACTGTTGTTATTCACTGGACTCTAGCTCACGTTTTGATATGTATATATATGTAGGTGATCCAGTTCAGGAGGGGACGTAGTGACGGAAATCTCGTCTCCGTTTTGGTCAAGATACCTTTTGTGCCTCACGGCGAGGTTCCTATCTGTTGAAGCACGTAGGTGATCCAGTGAGCACCCTTTTGAAATCACTCACGTGTTATGGTCAGCTGCCACTGGTATCATATCCGTGGTTGATGGGAATATCTCCTCACTTTTAGTTGTATTTTGACAAACTTGTGGTACCTTGATATATATATATAGTAATGCATTTTGTTTCATGTCAGTTCACAGCTCGTTGGACATTTTACTTTCTTATATCTTAGCTTCCCCTAGCCTCGTTTGTTCGATTTGTATAGTTAGGCCTTTGGTAATCACAAATTACTGGCCGGTTACGATGCCAAACTTTTAGGGGCGGATTTGGGTCGTGACAATATACGTTTTTGTTATATAGGTTTGTTCAGAGATGTCTATCTGGGTATATGCATCAATCAGTGTTCTTTCCACAACAGCCTCATCTTCTCAGTCTTCTTCCCACAACAGCCTCATCTTTTTTTTGGTAATTCTACTTCCAATATGGGTTTATATACTATTTGCAGATATTTAAAAAAAAAAAAAAAAGAGAGCAGTGTGGGTGAATATTTTATTGATCATTGAATATTGTGTATGTCATGTTCTCTCATTTGTTGGTTTGTTACTTTTATGTGTTTAGAGCAATGTGGGTTTGTAAGATTTGGGTTGGGAGATTATTGGGTTTGTGGGTATATGCATCATGACTGAGTCATGTAGCAATGCCATTATACATGTGTTTGAATTGGGGTTTAAATTGTAGCAAGGTTATTTACCAATTTTGCTTCGAACCTATTCAATTAATTATTTGTTCTAACTATGTGTGATGATATGTATAGTTGCCCAACTCTAAAGGGGTCAGATTTTCTTGATTTTCTTTTTCCTAACTTTATGTTTACAATTTTTTTTTACGTACTCTGATATTTTGATTTCCAATATTAGTGAACATTATAAATTTTATATGTTTGTTTCTTAATTTGCATTAAAGTTGGGGGAGGGGGGGTTGTTATTTTATTTGAGTTTTGAGTTTTGCTTATGGTCATGTATTGCTTAACAAATATTAAAAATTTATTTAAGGGTGGAAGCAAAATGAATCTGAATGGGTGCAGGTGAAGATTAAAGAAGGTAATGGAGGGTTACATACACAAAACTGATGTGACTAAACTGATATAATAAATGGCTTTGGGTTTTTGGACAAAATAAATGGGTTTTTTTAGGTTGTATTGATTTGTAAATCATGGGGGAATTAAGTTAGTTACAGTTTATTGTTGAATTACCAAGCAAAGAGTTTACTTTCTGAATTTTATTTTATTAAATTCTTTCTTAAGAACACTTATTTCTTAAATTTTCCCTCTAACCTTATGTGATCAATTAAAGAAAGTTCTAAAAAGAAAGAGTTGAAAAAAAATAAAACCCAGAGAAAATATTGATTGATTTTTGTAAATTAATGTTTTTATCAATCATTAATTTGTATTTGTGTTAACAATGTGTTGTGTTTGTTCGTAGTGTTTGCATTGGGTAACCAATTATTATTTTGCAACAATGTTTGTGTTTAGTTTGAATTGGGTGGTCTATAAAAAAAAACCTTTCATTAGTGTGACAATACATGTGTTTGTTTTGAATTGGGTAGTCTCTTTTAATTATTATATTGGCTTTTTTTCTGTATTTTACAGGTGGATGAAGACTAGAAGCAAATGGCAATATTGACTCCCTTTTTACAAGTCTACATTTTTTTAAGCTTAATTTTTTCTTATCTCTTTAATGATTTTGTATTTATTGTTGTGTAAACTAAACGTGCACTTCTTTGATTGATGAGTGTTGGAAGAGTGGCAATCTCGAGAGCAGAATTTACACTATTTTTGGTTTCATCGTTAACAAACTTTGAAAATGATTGACGTTGTATAAAGTTAAAGATTATTTACAGGTTGATGCTGTGTAAACTTATATAGAGTTGGTTTGGTTATTTAGAGGTAGACATTTGGAGGTGTTTGTTATTTAGATTTTGATCAAGAATACCATTTTTGTATTGGCATGGTGTGCTCCAAAGGGAGAACACCATTTTGTTGTTCCTCTTATTTGAAGTTGTGTTTATAATAAAGGGGATCCTCTTGATAAAATATATGTTATCTATTCATTTTTTGTATGTCATGGGAAAACAGAACTTTAGGTATACTTGATTCTCAATGTTCCTAGCTTAAGAAAGAATGATAAATGAAAATTATTCAAACAGAACATTATTTACACCGTGCCTTTAGGCACGGGCATACACTAGTATAATAATATAGTACAAACTAATTTTACATTATATGTTTCATATATGTAACTAATAATTTGTAACAAATTTCATATCTTAAATATCTCTCACGCTCATTTTTATTTTGATATTTCATTGGAAGTTAAAATATATATATATATATATATATACAGGAGGTTTAAACAAAAAAAAAAAACCTTCATCATTGGGGCGACATATGAAGAATTGGAAGCAATGGAACTAAAACCTGGTGCCTTCTCAGATTCCCAACAAAAGGTAGACTGGTCACTGAATGTGCTCTCCAAGTGTAGAGCCTGTGTCAAAACATACAAATGATAATGCAATTAAAAAGTATTCAAGTTTTGGTCAGAAGGATGTGCTCGGTTCTTTGGAAATGAAGGAAACCATGGCAAAACTCTGAATTTATTGTTCAATACATAAAATATATCTAGGTAAATCAACAGAAGGAACACCAGGATCCCAATTACTAATGTTGTGTTTGGTTGGGAGATTTGAGGATCGATTTGGAAAGGGAAATGGAAAAGGTAAGCGAAATGTGAATAAAATATAACTAAATAAAATTACATGATTGATATTTGCATAAAATTTTGCCATAATGTAGAGAGGACCCAACTTGAAGTAGGTCTTAAATGTCGAGGTCACATCCCCAGTCAAGCCGAGAATGCCGTTCTCAGTTGAGTTGGATAGGTTTGAGGCCCCAAAAAGGTTCCATATGTCGAGATTCCAGATTTATGACAATAAGTCCGATCTGAACTTTCACGTCAGCTTATATCTAAATTTGATGGCTTTATATACCGGGAATGAACCATTGCTATGCAAGGTGTTCCCTTTGTCTTTTGGGGAAATCGCTTCGGATTGGTTTCATAAGTTGCCAAAAAGAACTGTGAAGAGTTGGGGAGTCCTGACAGAGATGTTTGTGGTCAGGTTTGGGACAAACAAGTTGCAACCACTAAGGGTAGACTCCCTAATGGCTCAGAAAATTAGCGAGGGTGAAGGCCTTAGGGCTTATGCTAAGAGGTATTATGAGGTGTTCAACCGAATACCGGGATGTAACCAAGAGCTAGCGGTCGTGTCTTTTAAGAATGGCATGGAGGATGATTGCACGCTTCGGAAGTTGCTCGCAAAGACTCTACCAAAAAGTATGGAGGAGCTCATGGCAAGGATTGAGAAATAAGCCAGAGCAGAAAAGGATACACTGGGAATGAAGGCGCCGAAGCGAAGCCGAGCTAATATTGGATTTAACAGGCAAGAAACAAGGTTGAGGGTTGAACAGGCAGTCACCACTGTGTTCCGGATCCCGATTTATAAAGTTTTAGAAAGGATCAGGAACCAGCCATATTATAGAGTGTCGGAGAAGATTCTTGGCGAGTTTATGGGGAGAAGCCTTGGGAAGCACTGTGTTTACTACAATGAGGATGGGCACCTGATTCAGGGGTGCAGAGCCCTGAAGACGCATTTGAAAGATCTGGTCAGCCAGGGTCACTTAAGGGACCTAGTAGATGAGGCCAGAACGAGGGAAGAGCAGGCGAGACTGCCCCAGGCACCGGCAGCACCACCTCTACCACAACCACAGTAAGCAGAACCTCAGGTGATCAATGTGATCCACTCGAAGGTTAATGAGAATGATATACGAGGAGAGACACAGAAGGTGAAACACTTACAGCATGTATGTCAAGTCCAGCTAAAGAGGCCTAGGACAAACGAGTACCAAGGACCGATGGTGTCCTTTACTGAGGCAGACCTAGACATGGCGCAGCATCCCCACAACGATGCTCTGGTGGTGACCCTCGGGATTGGACAATACCAGGTAAGGCGCATTCTGATCAACCAAGGCAACTCTTGTGACATCATGTATGTCAGGTGTTACAAGGAGCTTGGCCTTCATCACGATGATTTGGAGTAATGCAATAGTCCAATGGTCAGGTTCAATGGAACGCCGACATGGCCTATGGGAGCAATAAATCTGAAGGTGCAGGCGGGCACCAAGAAAATAAGCACAAAGTTTACAGTAATTGACACCCCCTTCCCTTACAATGCTATCTTGGGAAGGCTATCTTGGGAAGACTATGGTTGCACACAATGAGGGTTGTTCCCTCAACACTACACCAGCTGTTGCGGTTCCCAACGGAGCATGGAATTAAAGAGGTTGAAGGAGGTCAGGTGCAAGTAAAAAATTACTCCATGGCAGCAATGAAATCCACCTGCAACGTGCGAGAGACAGAAACAGTAGAAATTAAAGACAAGGACATGGAAGTTATAGATGATGTCGGCAAAGAACCAACCGAGAAGAGTGAGGAAGCCTTGAAGACAATCCTAGTCCAATAAGGGGATGAAGAGCGCTTCTTTCTTCTCGGCTCAAGCTTGGTCGAGGATGAGGAGAGGGAGTTAGAAGCTTATTTACGGGCCAACATAGAAGTATTTTCCTGGACGCCATATGAGATGCCAGGCATTGACCCCATGGTCACATGTCATATGCTCAAAGTAGACAAGTCGACTAAACCTGTTATCCAGGGAGTGAGGAGGCTGACGTTGATGCATGTTGAAGCAGTTAAAGAGGAAGTGGGCAAACTCCTGGAAGCCAAAGTCATTTGCGAGGTGAACTACCCTACTTGGTTGTCCAACACTATGGTAGTGAAAAAGAAGAACGGCAAGTGGAGGGTTTGTGTTGATTTCACCAACCTGAATAAGGCTTGCCCCAAGGACAATTTTCCACTTCCCAAGATTGATCGGTTAGTAGATGCCAGTTCAGGGCATGGACGGATGAGCTTCTTAGATGCTTACTGGGGATACCACCAGATAGCAATGTATCCCCCTGATGAGGAGAAGACTGCATTTATCACCCAAAAATAGTTGTATTGCTACAAAGTGATGCCTCTCGGGTTAAAAAATGCAGGAGCAACCTACTAGAGGTTAATGACCAACATGTTTAGACACTTGATTGGCAAGACGGTAGAAGTGTACATTGATGACATGGTTGTAAAGACCAAAAAACCTAAAAATTATCTGGCCGACTTAAAATCAATTTTTGATATCCTAACAATATATCAACTCTGATTCAATGCTTTGAAATGCGCATTTAGAGTCAGATCTGGTAAGTTTCTGGGATACTTGGTCACCATAAGGGGCATTAAAGCAAGCCCAAATTTAGTCAAGGCCATCCTTGACTTGAAAAGCCTGACATCCGCAAAATAAGTGCAGATGTTGACTAGGAGGGCTACAGCCCTGAACAGGTTTATCAGCTGAGGTTCTAATAAGTGTAAACCATTTTTTAGTTTGTTAAAGAAGGCCACAGAATTTTTGTGGACAGAGGAGTGCGAAGTCGCCTTGGCCGACTTAAAAAAGTACCTAACAACAGCTTCGATTCTATCAAATCCAAATCCTAGAGAAGAATTACTCCTACACTTGGCAGTTTCAAAGCACGTAGTGAGTGCAATGATAATCAGAGAAGAGAAAGGAGAACAAAAGGCAGTATACTATGTAAGTAAAACCCTAGCAAGTGCAGAGACCAAGTACTTACCCCTGGAAACGTTGACACTAACCTTAGTGATGGCTTCGAAAAAACTGAATCATTACTTCCAGGCCCACAAGATTCTGGTATTAACTGAGCATCCTTTGAAGTCTCTGTTGCAACAAGGAGATCAGACAAGAAGGGTAGCCAAATAGGCCATAGTGTTGGGCCAATATGACTTGGAGTTTAGGCCCAGAACAGTAATTAAGGGCCAGGTTCTGGCTGACTTTGTGGCTAAGTTCACCCCTGGTGCCATCCCACATCGGACTCCGGTGAGCTGAGGTTTGGGATGCCCAAGGAAGCCAGAAGAAACCCAATTAAGGCCCAAGAACCCCACTCAAGAAAAACAGAAGAAAAATGAGAAACCAAAGCCCTGCGACATCTACATCGACGACTCATTCCACTTATTTGTTGATGGAAGTTCAAACCATCAAGAAGCGGGGGCAAGAGTAATGTTAGTATCGCCAAATAGGTGAATATTACAACAGACTATTCGGTTGGTGTAGACACCCAATTTTTTACTGACCTTAAGACTCAGATGTCATCGATTGAGCGCTCGGTGATGAAGCATGATATGCTCGTTCTGAGGTTTCGGAGTTTTGGCTGAGAGCATTACCCCCGGAGCTCGGGACCCTTTTGTGCTTTGCCTCGGTTTGCAAACCAGGTTCTGTTTTCTTTTCCCAAAGGGAGGGAGAGGTCTCGTAGACCATCTCTCAGTGGCCATAGGCTACTTTTCGTGGTCATAGGCCACTGTTCCTGTTTGGAGACCAATTTTTGGTTTTCGGAGTCGTCGGTCGTGCGCCTCGGTTTGGGACCGCTTAACTTTCTCCGTTTGCTCCGATTTTTGGCACACACCTTGTTTCCTCTATCTAGAGGGACACCGTGGCCTAGGAGACCACCTTTGTGGTCGCACGCCACTTTCGGTGCCTAACAGCTTGTTTTCGGGGCACCCGGCTGCGCGTTTTGAACCCCGAACCTTCGTTTTTCATCCGTCTTGGTTCATTTTTGGCATGGACCCTATTTTCATTGTTTGGGAGGTGGTACAAGGGTGGGAAACCACCTTTTCTCCTTGGAGACCACTTTTCTCCCCACTTGTCGATTTTCTGGTTTTCTTGTCGGGAAGCTGGTTTTCTTGGTTTTTGGGCCACATTTACTGGTTTCCTACCCCACCACTAGCTTGCATTCAATCGGGAGACCACCAAATGGGGCCACCGACCAGTTTTTTTTTAGTTGAACCTTTTGAACCCTTGTTTTAGCTTCTTGAGGAACCTTGAACCTTTTGAACCTTTGTTTTAGCTTCTTGAGGAAGCTTGAACCATTTGAACCTTTGCTCTAGCTTCTCCAAGAAGTTTGAACCTTTTGAACCTTTTTTTAGCTCCTCCAAGAAGCTTGAACCTTTTTTTAGCTTCTCCAAGAAGCTTAAACCTTTTTTAGCTTCTCCAAGAAGCTTGAACCTTTTTTTGCTTCTCCAAGAAGCTTGAACCCTCTTGTTTTTCTTTAAGAGAGGCCCTCCCTCTCCTTTAGAGAGGTTGAAAAAAATTGGTCGAAGGCATACAAGACTTCTCCCTCTATATCTCTACATCCAAGCTAAAAAAGTGCATGGTTCTTGCACCTTTGCATACCATCTCCCAACCTAACCCCTCCACCATCACTCTAAGCATCTTGGAGGCCATTTTTAGAGGTTGAGAGGCTGTCTTTGTGGTCCAGAGGTTGCTGGTCCTTTTGTGCTACAAGGGTAACTCACTCTCTCCCTTTTAAGGCTTTATTTTGCTTCATCTTTTAGCTATACTTGAAAGCATATTTTAGCTTTGGTGTAAACTAAAAAAAGTCTTATTTTGAGGCCCTTAACATGTTTGTTTAAGATCATTTTTCTGTTGGGGGTCATCTACCCCCTTGCATGCTTCATTTTACCTTGTTTTGAGCCATGCATTAGGGCCTTTGCATTGACCTTTGTTTGGCCTTCTAGCCACTGAAATCCAGTGGATTTTTAGTAGCTAGCATGCTATTTTGAGTACCAAAATAAGAGAGGGGTGACCCTCTCTCCCCTTGTTTTGTTTCCTAGCATATTTGGCCTAACAAAGGAGCTCTTATTTGCATGCTTCCAAGCCATGTTTCAGGCCTTTTTTGGTAAGTTTTAGGACCTGCATAGGCTCTGTCTAGAGCTTGTTTTTCCATATTGGGTGTCCATCTTGCATGTGTAGAACAACTCTCTTCATAGCCTATCAAAGGAGCATGTCATTCTTGCATGCATTGACCATGTTTCTGTGGGTTTTTAGGCTTTATTTGGCATGTCATACCTCTTACTTTTGCTGGTTTAGTGGCCTCTTTAATGACTTGTATACTTGTAGTGTAAACCCTCTTCACTAGCTTGTATTGCATGTTGTTTTGGCCCTTGATTCTAGCACTTTTTGGCCATGCCTTAAACTGATTTTATGCATGTTTTGGACTGCCTTAAGCTCTATTTTTATGCCTCATAGTCGAATGATGCCTTCTATGCATGGTTGTAGTTCAATACCCTTGCCTAGCTTTGAGTTTTGGAGCCTATTGCATGCTTATACTGAGGTGTTTTCATGTTTTGGGGTCATTGAGCATGCTATTTCAGAGCTTATACTTGTGCTATATTCCCATGTTTTCCACTCTTTAAATGCATTTGAGAGTTGTGCTTG